CGCCAACTTCGTTGACTCAGTACTCGCCGTGAGGCCTACGACACTGCCACCACCAGTAGCGGTCGACGTCGAGACGGGCAACGACGATGCTTACTGCACTGTCAGCAACAGTTGCCTCCTCCCTCCTCCTCCTCCTCCTCCTCCTCCTCCTCCTCCTCCTCCTCCTCCTCCTCCTCGCAAAAAAAAATACTATCGGCCTCAACGGCTCCCCCGAATGGTGGTTATCACGTGAGCCCGCGCAACATATCACATTTCTGCGGCCACGGCCTCCGCGCCATGCCCGACTGGGCACGGGCGGGCTCGCTGGCGGAGCGCGCGCGACTCGGGCGCTCGCTCGTTCCTTTCCTTCGCCGTCCGTTGCCGCCGTCGCGCTGGGCGGGGTCTTCCCTTCCCGTGGGGCGCGGAGCGCCTGGCCGGACCACCGCTGCCGTCCTCGCATCCTGCGCGAGGCCGCGAGCCGGCCACCACGGCGCCGGCTGGCGTAGGGGGACGCTCGGGCGGCCATGGGTGCAGTGCCCGGCGGGGGGGGCGGGGGCCGGGGAGCGGGGCCGTGCAGGGGCACCGTGTTCGAGCCTTGTGGCCCAAGATGCCCCCCAGACCCCCCGAAGTTGTTATTGATGGCGTGACGACGGGGGGGGGCGTGAGTGGACAGAACTATTCGAACCCCCGAAGCACCGCCCTTACCGAGATCAGCATTGATGTCGGGGGCGTGGGGGTGATTTAGAATCTCCCTCGAAGAATGTGTAAGTAAGGGTTCGAATGTATTGTCCATGTGCTGGACCTTGCTCCTCGGTGTCTACGGGCTCCCGCCGGGGTACGGTGCTGCCGTGCGTCGTGGTTTCTGGCGGGGCTGGGTCCAGGAAGGGCGGCGACTGCCTGCTCGGGCCCAGTTCCGTGGCTGGGAGCTGTTGGTGGTTGTCGACTTTCAAGTTGCATGTCGCTCAGCTGGGCGGCCCATTCGAATGAAGCTCTCCCACCAATCGGGGAAGAGGATAGATAAATATGCACCGATCCTGGACGAGCCCAGGGTGCGCCTGGTCAGGATCGGTGTATGTGCAGTGCATATATAGGCTTCCTAGATGGGGTCGGGGTGGATGGGGTCGGAAGATCGCGCCGCATCGCCGATACATCGGCGATGCATCGGCGATGCATCGGCGATGCGCTGGCGATGCTCGGAACAGCGCTTGGGCCGCGAGGTGTTGCAATGGTTGTCAGGCCTGGGTGCTGCGCTTCAGAACCACCCAGGCGTGCGGACGCGCGAGTTAGGGTCCATCATCGACGTGGTCGCGGCGTCTGCCAGAGTGACAGTTGCGGCCGCGGTCGAGGGGATTGGCACCGCAGCCGTGCGCAGTGACCACGGCATGTTCATCGTGCGGCTGAGCTCCGAGGCGACGTGCGCCTCGAGGGTTGAGCTGGGGCAGGCGAGGTGGGAGGGTGGGAGCGGGGGGAGTCGTGGGACGCGGCGTTGGAGTTGGTGCCGGCCACGCTGCGGTTGTTCATTGGCTGGGCGGGTACGGCGATGCGGTGGGAAGTATTGGTGCGATGGGTTGCTGACCGCGCGCGCAGGGAGACGAGACAGGGGCTGCTGGACAGGGTGCCGTCGTGGCATGCGGTGGTGTACACGCTGGCGGGCCACGCTGGTGGCTGGGTGGTGGCACGCGGGTCCCGCCGCCCAGTTGTCGCGGCGCGGGGAGGGGGGCCAGGGCCAAAAGCGAGGCTCCGCGGATGCCCGTGGACGAGTGGCCCGCTGAGCTGCCCCCCCACGCTGGGCCCCTCGGGAGTGGGCCTGCCCGAGAGGGAGCAGTCCAGGTGTCTGGGTCGGTGTCTCGAGTTGGCGCAGGCTTCGCCTGGCGAGGCCGAAGCTTTCTGAACCAGCGCACCGTGCCCGCGCTTGCCGCTGCATCTGGCGTTCAGGAGCCCAGCCACGGGACAGCTTCTGGGGGTAGCCGAGGCGATCGGCATCGTCACAGAGGACGTGCTAGAGCGTGGCGCGGCGGCAGGGCCAGGTGACCCGGCCTTCACACGCAATCGGTCAGCCGACAGGTGGCGGAGTCGCGCCGCGAAGCGCAGAGGGAGACCATCACGACGCAATGGGAAGACCCGTTCTCGACCGACGCCGAGGACGGGACCCTGGATTCGACCAGTCGCAATCGACCGTCCTTCCGCTTCCCCCGCGCGGCGTGCCGCTCGCAGGTGCGCGGGGGCGGTTGGCCACGTGGGCCATCATCTGCCTGGTGGCAGTGCTGGGGCTGGCCCCGACGGCGTGGATGCGGGATGCGCCGATTCGGAGAGGCGCGGCCTGCAGGCCGTCGCGGAGGTGTGCAGCCTTCGCCCCGTGAGCTGCGTGGACGAGCTGTGCGGCACCTTCGATGCGCTGTGGTCGGAGGCGGCCCGCGGTGCTGTGGAAGCGTTCGCGGGGTCGCCGTAGGCCGGTGGGGAGTAGGACGCAGTGTTGATGGTCATCGGCATGGTCATCGCTCTTTGGGTCAGGCGCGCGGGTGGTGTCCCGACATGGGTGCAGAAAGCGGGCCCGATGCACGGGCATGGCTTTTGCTTGGCGGGACGCGATGCGGCTTCACCTATGGTGGGCTGGGGTCCGGGGCGCCTCTGGTTGGTCGCTGACGCGGCCCTGGGCGCCGAGGCGATCCGTGTCCGGGTGGGGGGGGAGGTTGCCGGGCCTGCGGCCCAGCTCGTTGCCTTCGGGGTGGGGCAAGGGAAACGCGAGGGGATGAAATGTTTGGTGCGCTCATCCGCTCGTTCCTGGATGAGTGCGCCGAGCAGACCGACGGCGTCGGCATACATCCGCCCGCGCGTTTGCCGCGGCCGGCGCGGCCGCGATCCCCCGCGAGGCTGCGCACCGCGCGTCGGTCCAGGCGGCGGCGGCGGCGGCGGCGGCGGCGGCGGCGGCGGCGGCGGCGACCGCGCCCCGTGCCCCAGATTGGCGCGCGTACGCGGCGGCATTTCGCACCGCTGCTGACCAGAATGCGTTCTTGGGCGCCTTGGCACGCCACGCAGTGCTGTTAGTCCAGTTTGTGGATGGCTCCTTCCTGTTCTCCAGTCATTCCTCGCGGGACTGGCGGCTGCAACCAGGGATTTGTCGCAGTGTTGCACGCGTTAGCGCCATCGCTTTCAAGGTGGCCGCAAGAGGCCAGTCGTGATGGCGGTGGAGGCAGGTGGGCGTGATGGCGGCGCTGCTTCTGGCGCGGTGGCCAGCGAAGTTCGAGCTGCGGCGGACTCGCTGGACATGCTGGGGGGGCCGGTTGACGGGTCCCCCGCGTTTCACGACTCACTCGACGAGGTGTGCGCGCGGCTGCGTAACGGCAGGCAGAATTTGGTGGCATCGTTGGAGCAGCGCGGGTTCGGCATGCCATGCCAGGCTGCCCAGATCCCGACCCAGGTCGAAGCGGCAATATGTTTTGCCTGCGAGCTTCTGGCTAGTGAGGGCAGGGCTGGTGGGCGGCAGTGACGCGGCTCAAGTCGGTGCAGTACGACGCGGCCAAGGTGCTCCTGGGAGTTGGCAAGGGCACGGCGTTCGGGGAGGCCGGGCACGCGCGGGTACTGGCTGAATCGCGCATGCTCACGCGCTGGGGGGCGAAGTTGCTGCAACGCATTGCGCTCGCTCGTGCGCGGTTGCTGGCGCTGCCCCGTTCGAGTCCGGTTGCTGCGGCGGTGCTGGGCTCCCGGGTGGTGACACAGGCTACCTGGCTGGAGCACGCGGCTGAGGTGGTGACGTATCTCCGGGTGCAGGTCGATCTCTGCGTGGATCACCTGGGCGAGGCCAGGCGCGCCTCCCCTGAGGCTCGCAGGCGGGCGGTGCGGCAGTGGAAGCACGCGGCCCTGGTGCCCGCGGTGCGGGCACAGGAACAGGCGTGGTTTCTGCTCCAGCCTGCGGCCCTCAACAACGAGGCGCTGATCCCGTGCACTGACCTCCTCCCCCTGCGGCCGCCGCTCGCCCCGGGCCTCTGCTGGGCGCCATGTGGCCCAAGCTTGTGGCGATGGTCTCGGGCTTGGTCGGCGGCGCGGGTCGCAGGGCGGGCGCCAGCGGCAGCGCGGTGGCCAGAACGCGGTCGTTGTGAGGCGCAGGCGTGCCCGTTTCGAAAGGCCGCGCTGGGGGCACCAGCTGCGTCAGGTGTCACTGCTCGATGTGTGCGCCCTGCTGCGGGGGCTGCAGGATGGCGTGCTGCGGGCTGGAGCGGACGGGCGGGAGCCGGTGGGCGCTGAGCGACACGCTGAGCGGCGGGGGAACTGGCGGGCAGATGCCGTCGGGTGGGCCTGGCCGCGCGGACTTGGGTGTGGCATGCGCGCGGCGAGGCTTCTGCAGAGCCCGCCCCAGAGGCACGAGGGCTCGGGCCTCTGGTGAGGACGACCGGCCCGCACCCCTGCCTGGCTGGCCCGGAGGCCCGCGGGCAGTGAGCGCACGTGGCGGGACGTCTCCGCGGCACGAGGGCCACACCCCGCTATGTATCACGGCCTGGCGGAATCACAGGGCCAGGGCCCTCGTCCCAGGGCCTGGCCCACTGGCACGCCTGGCCAAGGCCTGGCCAGCAGCCGTCCCTCCTCCCTCCCTCCCGCCCTCCTCCCCTCCCTCCCCTCCCCTGCCCTTCTTTAATCCCTAACCCGTCCCCTCCCTCCCTAACCCGTCCCCTCCCTCCCTCCCTCCCTCCCGTCCCCCTCCCCTCCCCTCCCGTCCCCCTCCCCTCCCCTCCCTCCCCCCTCCCTCCCTCCCTCCCTCCCACCCTCCTCCACGATTTCTGACACAAGACACGCTTCTCCAAGCTGGCAGCCGACGATGGTTTACCCTAGCACAAGACGGCGCTCCATGGAGCAATCTGGGACTAGCATTCTTACGCCACACTCGTCACTGACAACAGTTGCCACAGCTGCGACTGAGGGCCCCATCCCGCCCGCGCTGGCCTTCCAGGCCCCGCCTCCCCACCAGCGGACTCAGGCGCGCTGTGCCTTGCCCTGCCTTGCCTCCCTAACTCCTCCTGCCCGCGGAGGTGATGGTGGCGTCCAGGGCGATGCTGCTCAGCTCCCAGCGCTGCCCGGACACGGACATCGCTGCGAGGCCCGCGGGGGCGCTTGCTGGTCCTGGGGGTTCGAAGACCCTCAGGGTGGAGGGGTCGGCCTCCACTTCTGGCGGCCTTCTGTTCCTGGCCCTGCTCCCTCCACGGGCAACGGAGGCTCGAGCTTGAAGGGGCTCAGCGAGGAGGAAGAGAAGGAGGAGGAGGAGGAAGAGGATGAGGAGGAAGAAGGAGGAGGAGGAGGAAGAATAAGAAGGAGGAGGAGGAGGAGCAGCAGGAGGAGGAGGAGGAGGAGGAGCAGGAGGAGGAGAAGGAGGAGGAGGAGGAGGAGGAGGAGAAAGAGGAGGAGGAGGAGAAAGAGGAGGAGGAGGGAGAAGGGAGGAGGGAGGAGGGATGAGGGATGAGGGATGAGAGAGGAGGAGGAGGGAGGAGGAAGAGGGAGGAGGAAGGAGGGAGGAGGAGGAGGAGGAGGAGGAGGAGGAGGAGAGGAGGAGGGAGGGGAGGAGGGGGAGGAAGAGGGAAGAGGAGGAGGAGAGGAGGAGGAGGAGCAGGAGGAGAGGAGGAGGAGGAGGGAGGAGGAGGAATGCACTGGGGCCAAGCAGAGCAGCATGAACAATTGGGATCGAGGCTGTGATCGAGGGAGCAGGGAGGAGGGACGAGGGCGGATGGAGGAGGGACGAGGGAGAGGGAGGAGGGAGGAAGGAGGAGGGAGGAGGGAGGAGGGAGGAGGATGATGGATGGAGGAGGGAGGAGGAGGAGGGAGGAGGAGAAGGGAGGAGGGAGAAGGGAGAAGCGAGGAGTAGGTAGAAGAAGGGAGAAGGAGGAGGAGGAGGAGCAGGAGGAGGAGGGGGAGGAGGGAGGGAGGGGGGGGAGAGGAGAGAGATGGGAGGGTGGAGGAGGAGGAGGGAGGGAGAAGGGAGGAGGGAGGAGGGAGCAGGAGGGGGAGGGAGGAGAGAGGAGGGAGGAGGGAGGAGGGAGGAGGAAGAGGAGGAGGAGGAAGAGGAGGAGGAGGAGGAGGAGGAGGAGGAGGAGGAATGCACTGGGGCCAAGCAGAGCAGCATGAGCAATTGGGATCGAGGCTGTGCTCTGATACTCTACATGTATGGGCGGGCAGGTTGTCGGCAGGCTCCGCATCTCAACTCATTCGAGGGTCTGCTAATTCTGCACGAATCTACGTTCAGGCGCTCGGAATCCCAGCTGATGCCCAGGTGTCTTGTTGTTGTTTTACACCCCCGCGCTGCTGATCTGTTTTGGCCCGCACCACGTTTTGTACTTTCGTTGATCCGCCCTCCTGCCTCCCTGCGGATTGGCCACGGACTTGTTCGGTCCCCAAGTTCCGAGACACGTTGCCAGCACGGAGCAAGGGGGGTCACTTGGCCACGAAGCTTGCGGGCCTCCCTACCCGAGGGCTTGAGCAGAGATCCCCCCTTAATGCTGGGGCGAAATATCTAGGCATAGATCTTAGGAGGAGGGGGATGGATGGCAGCGTTCACCACCGAACCCGAATGCCACCAGTCCAGAGTCCTGAGGAGAAGGATGAGGATGGGGAGGAGGAGGATGAGGTGGAGGAGGAGGAGGACCAGTGCAGACCCAAGACGCTTCAACGATGTTGGAGCAACCCCTCCTTCCAAGCTCCCTATTCGGAGGCCCCATACAAGGATTCATTTCAACTGAGGGAAGTGCCGCGTTGGGAGACAACCGTTTCGAAACCCTTAGTCGTGCCGGAACATCATTCTTAGGACTCCAGCGGCACGACTCAATTTGAGTGTTGCGTCCTGGCGACTTTGAATCGCGCCAGAACGCCATTCCTGGGATTTCAGCACCGCGAATCAACGTACTGCTGCGCCCTGACAATCCTGAACCGCTGCCAAACATTATTTCTGGTACGTTAGCCATGAGAACCCGTGAAACCCTGGCAACTGTTTAAGACCAATGTGCGCGGCGCTAAGGCAAGAGCCACATGTTGGAAAGGAGCCGCCCTCAATCTGTGAAAACAGGGCAATGCTTTCAAACCAATGCGAGCGGCGCTAAGGCGAGAGCCACATTTTGAAAACCACCCGCCCTCAGTCCGTTAAACGATTGCAGAAGTTTCAGACGAATGCGCGCGGACCTAGGGCGAGAGTCACATTTTGAACACCGCCCGCCCTCAATCCGTGCAACTCTTGCAAATTGTCCAGACGAATGTGCGCGGCGCTGAGGCGAGAGCCACATTTTGATCACCACCCGCCCTCATCCGTGAGGCCTTCTCTTTTCTATGAACGAATGTGCGTTGCGCTAAGGCCAGAGCCACATTTTGAAAACCGCCCGCCCTCGACTTGTGAAACCGTTGCCCATCCCAGGCTTCAGGGTCATAAACGGAGAGAGGAAGTCTTAGGCGACGCGCCCCGCTCGCCCTTCCGACTGGCATCGGGGCGCGTCAGGGCGGAGTTATGTATGAGGAAAACGAATGGAGGAGGACGAGAAGGAGGAGGAGGAGGAGGAGGAGGAGGAGGAGGAGGACGAGGAGGACGAGGAGGACGAGAAGGAGGACAAGGAGGAGGGCGGCTGCAGTAGCGGCGGGGCCCAAGTAATGCTAGCAGCGGCAGCGGCTCGCGCGCAGAAGCACGCGCGGCCACCAGAGCCTCCGCGGCTGTGAAAGAGGGGGAGGTGGTGGGCACCAGCTGAAGCGCCGTCTGCTGGCACAAACGGGGACAGGCTGAGAATGAGAAAAGACGGGGCTCCGGGGGCCGAAAGGCAGCCGATTTTGGCAGCAGCCAGCCCCACAAACCTAACTCAACCGTCCAAAGGAGCTCCAGTGGACGGGTGCAGGCCCCGATCGAGAAAGAGGAGGAGGAACCGGAGGCTCGGCGGAGCTGCTTCAGGGTGGTGAGGCTGTTCTACCCGGCGGTGGAAGAGCTGGCGAGGCACAATCGGTGGGGGGGGGCGAAGCACGGACCTATGGGTCCAGATGGTGACGGTGATGATGATGATGATGATGATGATGATGATGATGATGATGATGATGATGATGATGATGACGATGACGATGATGATGACGATGATGATGGTGATGATGACGGTTATGAGGATGGTGATGGTATCGTTGATGCTAATGTTGATGTTGATAATGATGATTATGATGATGATGTTGCTGATGATGATGATGGTGATGCTGATGCTAGTGGTTGTGATGATGATGCTGATGATGATGATGGTGGTGGCGGTGGTGGTGGTAATGATGATGATGGCGATGCTGATGGTGATGGTAATGATGGCGATGCTGACGTTGCTGTTGATTTTGATGCTGCTGATGATGATTATGGTGATTATGATGGTGCTTATGATGATGAGGACGATGATGATGATGATGATGCTGATTATGCTGATGATGATGCTGCTGATGATGATGATGATGATGGTGATGCTGATGATGTTGATGATGATGCTGATGGTGGTGGTGGTGATGATGATGATGGTGGTGATGATTATGATGCTGTTGTTAATGATGTTAATGCTGCTGCTGATGATCATGATGATGATTGCGATGCTGATTATGATGATGATGATGATGATGATGATGCTTATGTTGATGATGATGCTGCTGATGATGATGCTGTTGCTGTAATGATGATGATGCTGCTGCTGATGATGATGCTGTTGCTGTAATGATGATGACGATGATGATGATGATGATGATGATGATGATGATGATGATGATGATGATGGTGGTGGTGGTGGTGGTGGTGGTGGTGATGATGATGATGATGATGATGATGATGATGATGATGATGATGATGATGAGGTGGCGGTGGTGGTGATGAGGAGGGATGAGGAGGAGGAGAAGGAGGAGGAGGAGGGGGAGGAGGAGGAGCAGGTCCGTAGCCATTTTGGCTTAAGCCCCCCGTGGCGCCGTCGCCGTCTGGTCGGCGCGCCTGGCCCGCTGATGCCGATGGGAATTGCTGCGGACCCCGCCTCGCGCCGCCTGGCGCTCGAGGCGGCCTGGGCTAGCGTGCTTGCGGTACATGCCGCAGCGGGCCTCGCTGCGCCCGTGGATCGGGCCGCTGTCCGCGCCCTGCGCGCGGCGGAGGGCCTGGTGCGCTCCGCGGTCGCCGTGCTGGCCGCCGCGCCGACCCCCCTCGGCGCCGCCGCAGGCGTCGCCCGCGCGCGGAGCGTGGCGCTGCTCGGGCGGCCTTGGCGGACGACGCGACGATGCACACGTGCGACGAGGAGGGCAACGGTGAGGATTGGGTGGCGGATGACGCAAGGCAGAGGGCTGCAGCGTCGACCGAGCCCATCATGCAGGACGACAGCTGGGTGGGTGAGCTGCCCGTGCAGTTGAGCCGCCCGCCGTCCAGCACAGGGTGGCGCACGGGCAAGGGCAATGCCAAGGACATGGGCGCCGCCCTGCCCCTCGACGCTGGCGGTGGGGAGGCCGCGCCCTCGCCTTCGGGGGCGGCCGTGGCCCCTGCGGGCCTGCGGGAAGGCGCCCGTGTGCGGCTCCGCGACGGCCGCGCGGGGACGGTGTTCGGCGTCCCCATGAGCGACTCCGTGTGCGTCCTGGTCGGGAGCGGGCAGCGGGCCACTGTGTACGAGTTCGACTACGGGGACGTGGAGCACTCGTGGCTGCCGCAGGGGCGGCGGTCAGAGGCTGCAAGACGGGCGAGGGCGGCAAGTGAGGGCTGGTGCCCCTGCGGGCTTCGCGCTGCACGTCGGCATCCTCGCTCCGTTTCGCTCCTGGATCGGTTCGTGTGCTACGTGGACATCCAGGGGAAGCTCCTCAAGACATGAGGCGGGCGTGGTTGCCACAGGTGGCCCCGACCTTTAGGAACCAGAGGAACCGGAGGAGGAGGAGGAGGAGGAGGACGAGGAGGAGAAGGCAGCAGAAGTCTTAATGGGGAGACGATTACGGAGCAGTCCCTGTTTCTCTCTCTCTCTTTTTCTCTTTCTCTTTCTCTCTCTCTCTCTATATATATCCCCTTGCAGCCGTCCTGGGCGGATTTCGGGAGCAGGAGGCGGGCGGACTCAGCGTCGCGAGCATGCTTTCGAGGCCCCCCTGGGCCGGGGT